AGATTTCCTGGCAGGGAGGGTGACTTCCATCTAATGCTACTCCTTTCGGACAAAGACCCGGAAATATCCTCCCAAGTTGCCCAGTTCTGGGCTACCATCTGTACAATTCGCTCCACCATTATTTAGAGTTAAAATTCCACAACATAGTAGCCTACTTTGATATATTTTAGCACTGTTATTTTAATTCCTAGATTAAATAATATTGTTTTGTTTTATAGATATATATAAATGTAAGATGGTTGTTACTGTATATTTTGATTGTATCTGGCCTTAGGGCTGTAATAAACATGTGTGTGTGTGATCTGATGGGTGAAGAGCCATATCTTCCTGTACTCTCTACTTCTTCTCCCAGTCCAAGCTTGCCAGAGTGGCAAGAGAAGAGAGGGGGGAGCCCATTTACCAGCTGCCTGATTGCACCCAGAGCTGATGCATGGCAAGTAAGAGAGGAGCCTGTTTGAAAGAACCAGACTCTCCAGATGTCAAAAATAGATGATGATGATGATGATGATGATGATGATGATGATGATGATATAATGATTTATTACATTTTAATGCCACTTGACTCCCAGTGATTCTGGGCAATTGGAATTATACTGGAAAACAGTGCCCAAAGACCAGAGCTGCCTCAAGTGGCCAGTGGGAGTGAACAGATTCCAGCCTGCAACGATCAGCAACCACATCATTAAGGAAGCATCACGGATCATGTTCACAGGAAGAATTGTGTCAGAAGAGAGAAAACACTGCTTTAGAACTGGAAACGGCTAAAGATGACTTTCAGTTCCTTGGCTGTGTGCTGAGGACACGTCATTTAAGAATAGCTAGCCAGCCATCTTTGTGCTACTGTTGCAGTTACAGGGACGTAAGAATAAGCCCACTGATGGCAAAAAAAAAAAAATCTTTCTGACTCACCTGCTTTCTTGGGAAATACCAGGAATTGAATTTGAGACTGTTTACATATGAACATGAGCTCTAGCATAGACTCATGTTTCTTTCTTAGGACCATAGCTTCTAAATTAGAAGGTCTTCCTGCAGTACCACCTAATTATTATTCATTTGCAGTTCATTATGTGGCCTGAACCAATATGTGCAAAAAATTCAAGCAACTTCCCTACACTCTCATTAGTGATGGATTAGATTTATCGCTGTCTTGGTGTCTTATCTTACCTCTTCATGGTTCTTCTTGAGATATGCCAGTTCCTCTTTCAAATTCTCAATCTGCATTTCCAGGTCTGATCTAGATAGGGTCAGTTCATCTAAGACTCTGCGCAGCCCATTGATGTCACTTTCAACATTCATACGCAAAGTTTGCTCTGTTTCAAACCTGGAAATACAAGTATACAGCAAAGAATTAAACCACACATCCATATTGAAGTCCTGATGTTACTTGCAACTGATGAACAGGTTGCTTATAGAGCTGGATTAAATGGACAATTAAAATGAATATGATCATCCTTTATGGAAACTGTTGTATGAAACTTTATATACATATATACATGTATGATAAGCCTTTATATACACTTGTTTTTTGCTTTTTCTTCATTTTTTTCTTTATTTTTTCTATTGCTTTGTTTTTCCCCCTTTATTTTGTTTAACTAAATAAAGGCAAAAATGTTTTAGAAAAATCACATATCCCTGTTGTTCAGTTTTGATCCAGTATCATTTGGGTCTTAGCTGGTGTTGTGATTTTAAAAGTCCCTTCGCAAGATTAAGGTCAATGCCATTCCTATTGGTTCTCATAATCATAAACATAGCTAATATGTGCCTGTTTTCATTTTAAAAATTCAAGTTTGCTGAATCAATGCATAGTCTCTTGAAAGTTCACGAGATATTATTCAATGAAAGCCCAACTAGAACTCTTATTTATCTTCTACTTTGCTTGTTTCATTTGTTTAAATACATTGTCAGGGAAGAGAAAAAAGCTGGATTCTTTAGCCCACCATGTTCCTGACCAAAATTGCCACCAGAACTCCCAGTGGAAGGAAAGTTCCCACTGAGGCTAATAGGAGCTTTTCTATAATTACGAACACTACAAGGGAGGTAGCAATTCTGATCAGCACCGAAGCAGTGAAAAAGAGTTTTTAAATCAGAGGACACAGCCCTTTAGCTATACAAAGTTAGTTCATGACAGATGTCATGTCCAGTTTGACCCACAGAGGAAGAGGTTCAAATGTACACAGGATGGTCACAAGTCCCTGAATTTGATTTATACGGTCTCAGAACATCAGCAAGGTACTAAGGTTGCTTCAAGGATAATCCTTGTTCTTTTTCAGTACTTGCTCTTGACCAGTTATTGTCACCACAATGCACTGAGCTCAGGAAATTTCAAGGTTGCCTTCTCTCCACCTCTGTTGTTATTCAGTTGCAGACTAAATTAATTAAGTAATAGTAGACAAGACCTATCAGTGCCTTGTCACAGAGGAGATGGAGGCTGGGAGCTCAATCAGGGATCCCTTGGTGTGAGAAGAAGTTATTAAATGCATACAAGAATATCATTATACACTCATGGTACCCATTTGTATATGTCAATCCCAAGCAGACCAAGCCAAGCTGTCCCGGGGCCTAGAGCAGTGTTTCTCAACCTTGGCAACTTTAAGATGTCTGGACTTCAACTCCCAGAATTCCCCAGCCAGCATTTAAGTCCAGATATCTTAAAGTTGCCAAAGTTGAGAAACACTGGCCTAGAGGCTGTGAGGGGCTGAATAGGGAGAAACAGGTTCAAGCTTAATCCTAGTTATTTGGACCCCCTGGGTGCAGAGATTATCCATCCTTAGACCTGAGGGGGATGCCACTACCCTACTCAGGGTTGGTGCTCAAGTTGGGGGTATTCATGAACTTTCACTCCTGCGTGAAGAGCAGGTGGCAGCTGTGGTCAAGAAATCCTTTGTACAGATCCATCTTGTGCAACAATTGCACCCTTTTCTGGATCAGACACCCTTTGGTCAGTCTCTTGTGCTCTGGTCACATTGCATATGGATTATTACAATGTGCTGTACATGGGGCTGCTCTGGAAGATCACTTGGAAGTTGCAGCTGATCCAGCATGTGGCAGTCCAGGGAGTTGCTAGCATGCCTTGGTATGCCCATGTAACACCTTTGCTTTAGGAGCCACACTGGTTATCAGTAGGCTTCCTGGTGCAATTCAAGATTCTTATTTTCACCTGTAAAGTGCTTCATGGCCTAGCTACCTGAGGGACCATCTATCTCTCATAGCGTCTGCATATCTTGTTCAGTCTGACAGGTATGGCATGATCCAGGTCCCATTGGTAAAAGAATGTCAACTGATAGAACCTAGGAAGCACGCCTTCTGTGTCACCACTCCTGCCCTCTGGAATAGCATTGCCCCTGAGATTCACACACCCCTCTCCGATTTTATTGAAAAAAAGCCTTAAAACCTGATTTTTCTCTTGCTGTTTTTTATTTGTTTTTAATATTGTACACCGTCCAGAGACATTCTAAACTGGGTGGCCTTACAAACCCATGAAATGAAATGAAATGAAATGAAATGAAATGAAATG